GCTTGTGGGTAGGTTACCGTACCGCGGGTTTTTACCGCGCATTTTGAATGGCTGCATCTGTACATACAGAAGTTTAGATTTTTTTTTACATTTAAAACCTCTTCCCTGGATGTCCTTCTGTCTGGATACTTTTCTCACCCACTGTCTTTTGTTCCCTGCTGCTTTCCTCTCTGATTACTTCCTGATCTTTTATTCTTTTACAATAAAATCTTTTACAGTGTATAGTTGTATGGTTTTCCATTTATACAGCTGGGAGTTTACTACAGCACCTTGCTCAGGGAAACAAGAGCTGTGTCTTCTTGGGCTTTGAACCCACCAGCTGTAAAGTAATAAGTCCCAAACCCAGATCACTGTTACTCTCTCTTCTTCACACCAGAAGAAGGCTTAACGACCCAGACAGTGTGTTTCTCCTTTTGCTTTTCAGTGCAGAATTAACCTTGAATTAATTTAATTAACCAGATCCACACTCAAAACTCTTTTAAAATATGTGGGAGAAAAAAATAATCCAACCAACATAAATAAGCTTGGTCCCATCAAAATATTTAAGCTCCAGAGTCAATACAGCTCTAACCCTGTGTCCTGCTGAGTGTCCTACCTGTGTAACTGAAACCCCCCTGCAAGAGCTCTTTCTGAGGCTTCACCAGCAGGCGGAGAAACAACAGGACACAACAGGACACACCCACCTGCAGCTCTAGCTGTAATAATAATAATTGCTAACACTTATATAGCGCTTTTCTGGACACTCCACTCAAAGCGCTTTACAGGTAATGGGGATCCCCTCCACCACCACCAATGTACAGCATCCAGATGATGATGATGCAAAGGCAGCCATAGTGCGCGAGAACACTCACCACACACCAGCTATTAGTGGGGAGGAGAGCAGAGTAATGAAGCCAATTCATAGATGGGGATTATTAGGAGGCCATGATTGGTAAGGGCCAATGGGAAATTTGGCCAGGACGCCGGGGTTACACCTTGACTCTTTTCGAGAAACACCCTGGGATTTTTAATGACCACAGAGAGTCAGGACCTCGGTTTTACATCTCATCTGAAGGATGGCACCTTTTTACAGTATAGCGTCCCCATCGCTATAATGGGGCCCACATGGACCACAGGGTGAGCGCCCCTTGCTGGCCCCACTAACACCTCTTCCAGCAGCAACCTTAGTTTTTCCCAAGAGGTCTCCCATCCAGGTACTGACCAGGCTCACACCTGCTGAGCTTCATTCGGTTGGCTGTAGACCCAAAGACTGTGGCAGGCAGGTTCTGCAGTCAAACGATTCCTAAGATGTAGCTTCTTATGCTAATTTGAATAAAGCTGGTGCCTAGAGCAATTCATACAAATTATTGTGAGTAGTTGTGAGAATGCAGTATAATAAAACTAACTTTTAAACTGTCAGAAAAATTAATAATTTTCAGTACTATGCAGGAAACAAACTGCCATGAGTGCTAAAAAATGTTCATTCATTATTTCTGATTCATTCACTGCTCTTCAAACTATTTATTTGTACTCTGAGTATTTTACTCTGACAATGCTGCACATGAAAGCCTTCAACACAGAGCAGCTGTCTTTCCGAACCGGGTGTCTGTTCTCGAGAGGGTGAGGACAGCACTTCAGGGCAGGACTCCAGGGCCGTCACAAGGCAGGAGCTCCACTGCTCCCGGCCTGTTGTCGGAGACTGAGCTGGAACCAGACTGCTCTGTAATCTGGTTTGTGTCTGAAGCCCAGAGAGGTGAATAACTGGTAGGATATTTGGTTTTCTTCTTCCACGAAGCAGTAGACAGGGTAGCCCTGCTCCAGGAGCTGCCTGGACATCTCGGTGACCAGAAGCTTGGCGTGCCCCTGCCGTCGGTGGTCTGGGAGGGTGTACAGCAGCCCCAGGGCGCAGTGCTGGTACATCAGGATCCAGGAGATGGGCTTCCCCCTCTCGTCCAGCACACACAAGCTGGGATTGTGGGAGATGTAATTCAGAACGGAGTTGTAGCTGTTCCTGTCACCTCCAAATGACCAGTTTGCATTCACCAGCTCAGCATGAGAGGGACTGAGCCGTGCCAACCTGCATCCGGCATCACTGTCAAAGCAAATAAAACAGAGCCACAGGTGAACTGATGAAAACACACCTATGAGCCAAAAACTGGACAAGGCCCTTCTGATCTTAAAAAGGCAGGACAAGTGTGAGCCAATATTGCCTCCACCAACTGCAATCGGCGGTCAAGTCAACCGAATAACCAAAAGCCCATGGCTACCAGTGACCAGTGAACATGTCCTCAGTTTCCTTCTCCTAATTATTACCTGTGTTCAGGCAGCTGCCTGAGCTGACTGCTGTCTTCCAGTGTCATCACATAGACAACAGTTTGTGTTCTTGCAGGAACATTTCTTGAAAGTGCCAGATCCTTCACAACATCCAGATGTTTGAGGTCGACACCTTAAACAGAGGCAAAGATGAAAACCCTTGCCTGACCTTTACTTTTTCAGGATAGGAAGATACATGAAAGACACACATGAAGACACGCATGAAAGAAATCATTGATCACGTCATTGATCATACTGCTGGTATGATTAATGCTTTATTAAAAAATAACTCCTAGTGAAGTTTTTTCTGGGGTAGCATGGTGGTTAACATTACTGGGGCCCTGGGTCCAATTCAATTCCTGGTGTTCTTTCTGCATGGAATTTATATGTTCAATCTGTGTTCATGCAGGTTTCCTTTGGGTGCTCCCGTTTTCTCCTGCAGTCCAGAGACATATTGGTAGGCTATTTGGCATCTGGGATAACTGGTCCTGGTGTGAGTTTCTGCATGTCTTTGCCTGTGTATGTGTGTCTCTGCACTGTGATGGACTGGTGTCAGTCCAGGGTGTATCCTGTATTGAGCCTGTTCCCTGCCAGGATGGGCTCCAGCTCCCTGCAACCCTGAATTGGATGAAGTGGTTAGAAAATGGATGGATGGGATGGAAGACTTTACTCATATTGACATATAATGTCCACTGACTGCTGACAAAAAGGTTTTCAACATCTGTGTGTCCTCCCGAGATATGATTCCCAGACTTGTGGCCTCTGTGCCCCTGGCCAGTCACTGCTCAGGGCTGCTGCAGAGGGACAGGGGTCCAGGAGAATATCTGAACTGAAGCATGAGTCATCTTTTCTGTTTTCTGATATACAAGGTTTTATTTTTTTAAGTAGCCCTTGGATCGCACAAATTCACCAGCCTGTGCATTGAAGGAAAATCATAACAGCTCCTCAGCACAGGTCACTGATGAAGCTGCACCATAAGACGTCTTGAGCTGTGCAAAAAGATTTAGTCAGTTACTGATCTGTAGTGGTGCGTGTCACCTTCCATAGGAAAGGATTAGCTCTTTTCACCTGCTAGCAGAGAAAACCGGCTCCAGTCAATAACACCAGGCCTTTGCAGCAGTTTCCCCAAACTCTCTTTGTCCCTGGAGAAGATGCTGTGTATGTTGAAGTCTCCCTCTCGGTCCAGGACCCCCTGTGACACAGCACACCAGCGTCAGGGCTACACTCCTACAGAAGCTCAGGCAGAGTGGGGTATAAACGAGAGGAGCCCTTTCAACTCATGCAGCTTGTTTTTCTTCAAGCAGAGAATTAATCAAAAGAACTGCAATCCACTCTCCTGAGCAACACACGCTTTAACAAGAAATGGGTGAGACAGGTGAGATGAGTAAGATGTTAATCACAGGGTATGAAGTCCAGCTGTGACTTCCCAGATCAGGCTGGAAGGACTGTATCATTTAATTATTTAAGTCTTCCATGTCTAGATGATTAATGTTCAGACACAGTGTCCTGAAGCTGATAGTCTGGGCAGTTGACACAGTTGGCATGCTGCCAGGTGTACAAAACATGGCTCAGCATGTCAGTCCGAGAGGAAAGAGCTGCTTAACTTCAGGAATAAGTGTTAGATCTGAAATCTAATCTGGGCGTCTGCACTGTGATGAAACTTCTGTTCTGCGCAAAGAAAGACTGTCACTGACCAGAGGACACAGATCAAGTGTGTGAGGACTAAAGTGCCTTTATGACTGAGAATAGGATGCACTTATTGTTATAAAGAATCGTGAGAGTCTGGAACTGTCATTGGGAACAATTGTGTTGTTAAAGCAAACAACCTGGATATCGTCAACTAGCTAGATTAGATTATTCAAATGGATTTCTCACATTTGTAACTCATTTGGCAGTGCAGCTGCCTGCAAGGATATTTTTTGTATCTTTTTGTTTTCACTTTTTGTTTTTGTGTTACAAAGGAGCAAAACCCTGTCTAAGTGAAGTAACATTGCTGCTGCATTATAAAACTAGAATTAATCAACTTTTTACTGCTTCCTGACTCTGTTTTTGAAGTTGTATTAACTGACTGTTATTTCTCTCACTGTTAAAAAAGAAAGAGATTCCTCTAGATTAGATAGATTCTGAAAAATTGTATTATAGAAATGTAACAAGTAAGAAACAAAGAAACAACACAAAATTAACAGATGGCAAAGTTTCAAGTTCTAGCACTGCGGTATTTCACAGCGCACGTGCAAGATCGGGAACACGCTGTGAATTCTGGGTACTGCGTCATGGTTCTGTAAACTGTAGTTATCAGAAGACTCCAGAAAGAAACGTACCAGGACCGACTGAATTGTTTCTCAGCACAAAGCCTTGCCCTACAAGTCTTTACCTGTCGTTTTGGTCGACAGAGGATGACTTTAAAGGCAGGCCAGGAGTCAGCAATGACTTCTATGTTGTGCGGTTTGCCTCTGTTGATGTTGAAAAGGCAGCCATACACCTGAAGAAACAAAGTACAGACACAGGCAGCAAGCTAACCAGACATGAATGCAGCAGATTATCCTCCAGAATTAGCTACGATAATTGATGTAACTGTTTTTGTTTTGTATTTGTGCCTCCATGTATGAAGCACTGAAGCTAATAAACATTTGCTCACAATAAAAGTATCTGAATGCTGAGGAGGATAATGTCTACATTACTATATTTGCTTAAATACTGTGTAAGAAGTGAAGGATTTAGGTTAAAATGCTGTGTGACAGTGAAACGCCTCTCCCACTGCACTTCCTACTCAGCGGCGCGTGGGAGTGTGCAGCTTCCACACCTGACGCCAATACGCGCTGCGAATTAAGATCCCCACACGCCCACAGACGGCGTTCACTCGTTCACTATAGAACCGAATTTCTCCCTTAGAGAAAGATTTTCCTCCTGTACGAGAGAACCGCAATCTCTGCAGACGACTACACACCGGCACACCGCAGAGAAAACATCACGCGCTCTGCCGGTGTTCAGGCAGCCTCCCAAATCTACCGACACTATTACAGCTGTTAAAAAAAGTTATCAAAATGAAAACGTGGTCTGCTTCAATTGTGTTCTGTCAACAGCTCACCTTCAGGGACTCTGGGAGGAACTGTCTCAGTATCCCCTCTGCTATCTGGAGCTGTTCTGACTCCAGCACTGCCATTCTGTTGCAAAGCTCTATTGTGTAGCTGGCAGGAGGTCATTTGACCTAAAACGTCACTCAGGGAGGAGGCAGTGCTGCTTGAATGGGATGGGCTGTGGTGTGGAGTCTGGCAGCTAAGGAAGATCTCTTCAACACTGGCCAGATCTGACTCATAAACACTCCCTCAAACATGAAGGATAATATGTGGACTTTCATCTTTTCTGTCTTTAAAAAAAAAACTTGTTTATCATCAGATACTACTGTTCATGTTCTCCAAGACTGTGTCCAATTCATTTACATACAATACATTTAAAAAAAACAATGAACAAAAGTTGTATTAAATATATGTGAGTACAGTAAAATGGACTTAATATTGGTAGATACTCTTAATTGCTCATCACCATACATTGTTAATTATGTACATATATTAGAAAAAGCCTCTTACAATGATTGAGAATTAAAACAGGTTAGTGTAGTGCAGGCTATGGTTAAAAAGTAATTATAAAGACATTGACTGTAATGTGCACAGGCTCTGTGCTGAAACATTCATGTTCTTCTGCTTTCTCTGCACCCTGAAGGGACTCTCTGTGAGAGTCTGTGCTAAAACTGCATAAGTCTTCAGCTGGATTGTGATCCTGCAAGATGAACTTTTAGTCCAGCTCCTGTTTTGTGACTTTTTTT